GGGTGGATTCATCATCCCCGCGTGGTCGACCGATGAGGAAGACGCCGCCGCACGCGCCGCGTTGTCGCGGGCCTTCTTGGCAATGGCCCTGTTCCGCCGGTCGGTGGTGACTGCGTCGCGTCGCTGAACTTCCACCCTCCACTCGGCGCTCGACATGCCCGATGGCTTCGATGGCGGCGCCCTCGGCTTCCTCTGCTTCGGCTGGGCCACGGTGCCAGTCGTGGTTGCCGCCGCGCGCGGCATGGCGTACTTCTTCGGCGGCATGGCGGCGACTGGAAGGCGAGCTGGAGGGGGTTTGGCGGGAGAAAGGGAGAGAATGGCGGGAGGAAGGCGAGCGAGCGAGAGAGATGCGAGGGAAAAGCGTCAAGAAACGGCGGGAAAAGGCCCACGGGTCGCCGCCAGGACGGGCCCACACGCCTTTTTCGCTTGCGCCGGCTCCCCAAGCGCCCCCCAGGGCGCCGGGTTCGGCCTGAGTCCGCCGGCACCAGTTTTTGCCCGAGCCGGCGAAAAACGGGCTTCTGAGGACGCGACTGGGCCGTTTTTTTGGCGCCGGCGCAGCAAAATCGCCTGGGGAGGGCCTGTTGGGGCGCGGCTGGAGATGCCCTAAGAACTCGTGTCATACAGATACCACTGTGACAATGGAATATATAGATAAAACAGTTGTGGCCCTGAAGAGTCGGACATAATAACTCTGAATCATACATAAAAGTTAGCCAACTTCAGCTCTGATTCGAGTTAACTTGGTTTCCGGCAGATGTTTTGAACAACTACTATAGCTTCACACTTGAATTGCGTATAATAAGTTTCAGACTTCACACAAGGAGGCTGAAAGATTCAGAGTTAACGTTCAGCTCTGTTTCAAAAGCAGAGTTCAGACTACAAAATTTACATAACGCTTACCGTTTAAATGGCATAAGTGGCTCATTGAAATTGTTTACATCCAAGTGAAGATCCAACAAAATGTACAAATTGATTAAAGCACCAGATGCTACTAGGTCACTGAAATCTACAGTACAATGCTAGACTAGGCTCATACTTGCATGTCCCGTGACTCATGTGTGGTATTTGAAAGGTCTTCCTAGTTATATCGCGAATCTTTTAGATAAACCTCTTAAGAAGTTGGAGGGCCTAGTATACGGCGATTTCTCTTTTGCTAGTCCCAGCACTAAAAAACCCATTTTTTTTACGATTACGAGGTTTATTCGAAGAGGAAATTGCATCCTGTTGCATCTCCTTATTCAGCAAAATGCATAACAACTTGCTGATTCTCCTTCCTTCCTTCCTTCCTTCCTTCCTTGTGGACAGGTATGAGCAGACGGACCCGACTAGCATGACAAACATGCAGCTCATCAGAAAGATGAAGGAGCAGCTAGCAAAGGATCTGACCCGCGCGACTGCGCCAAGCAAGTGCGCTGCGCAAGAACATCCACCACTTACTCCACCGAACCCAAGGCAACCATTCTCTGTTTCTTGCACGGGTTGGTTCATTAGATAGAAACGATTATTGTTAGATCTGCATTTTTTTCACAAGGCAAAAAGGAAGAAATTATTCACTCGATTACGCATTTTGAACAAAATCTAGCCTAGCGCTGCACATCCACAGCAACGTCTACAGTTCCAGAGTTGAACTTGGTGCATAGCCTAAAGAAGCAAGTAACTAATTACAAGTTTATAACATACAGGTGTCTGCTGCTACCCGCGGACCAATTTTGGCATACCACAATTACAGGTTCTGAATCATACACTTTATTTATTGAACTCAAGATAGGTGCAGATTTTTTATGTGCTGGCATGGTTGGAAGAGGAAGCCTCATGAAACTATAAGGTGTAAATTAAAATGGCAAAGGTAACAAAAAAATGCTCATTATACACTGTGATCACAAGCCAGTGATATCAACATCTATATTTGTCAAGTTCCGATAAAATGCCCCCACTACTATGAGGACGCTCCAAATTTTCTTAGATTATCCCCTCTTACTTTGTTAGCCAGAGGAGCATATGGGCAGATATGCTGAAAACCCCTCAAGCTAACTACACTGCATAAAAGGAACCGAAGGAATATGTGCCATTGGAGGTACACAATCAAACAGGATGAACTTATGGAAATGATTTCGTCAAAGCTTCAGTTTGGCATGCTATTTAGGATATCAATTCAAGGGAATTATTAAAACAGAGCAACTTGACTCCAAACATGGCTGTGGGATTACTTAAATATCTCATCAGGTAGCTATAAAGTTATTAATCAACCTCATGATGACAGTAAATCAGAATCTGAAAGAAAAACTAATTTCCAGTGATAGCATAACGATCTCTGCAAACACATATACTCACATCGTATCACTGAAAGAGGTGCAATGGACCTAAGGCGCATACAGATCAGTTTGGTGAGCTACTATAGCCGTGCTAATAGTCCCTCCGTTCCTAAATATATGACGTTCTGGTAGTTTTAAATGAACTACCAAAACGTCACATATTTAGGAACGGAGGGAGTACTATATATCTTCCCTAATTCGCAAAAGAATGTAGAAACAACTATTCTCCCCAGTGGAGCAGCTACATTGATGTGACCATTAATCATTCGGCATGAGTGGTGAACCATCTCGAAAACAATGAACGATGAATTGATGTTGACCATTAGACCAAGTGGGCTATATCACTCCAAAAGACTAACTTAATTTCAGTATCACCAAAAGGAAATCGTGGAAGCATTCTAACCTGCAGGCAAGAATTTGTCACAATACCAAATATTCTTAAGAAGACAACAAGCTAAATTGGTTGATAAACTCAGGTTAGTGATTGTAAGCTAGTTGCATAATACAAGCATGCATATCAAACAGGACTATATATGTGTATTCTTGGGGCAGGCAGGAATTGACTTAAATGTCATAGCTGCAAAAATATCATAGGGTTCCTTGGTGTGAATGACATTGTTGGGTAACTGAGGAAGTACTTCTCGTGGCTCATGTCCTACCTCTCGAGAATTATCTCAAAGATCTATGCAGAAATTGCCACAGCAGCAAAAGGGCACAGCTTCTGATAACTCCATAAAATGTTGTATCTAGTTTCGGCTCCATCACACCAAAACAGTAAATACAAATGAATAACTGAAAAAAAACATGATGACACAACAAAACAGGGGACAAGATTATCTTGTGGCACTGCGTCACAAATTTGAGGAATATACGACTAATCTGGTTTCTTTATTTTAGCACAGAGGACTAAGAATAAGCTGTTCTTTGCACACAAAGATTTACAAAAACAATTCAAACAAGAGGAAACAGATTATGCTAAAGCAAGGTGAATTAACCCTGGGCCCTACATACGAAACGCTAACACCAGGGGACAACATTCCCTCCATCTGCTTCCAAAAGGACTATTTACCTAGATTTGGGAAGGGCATCAGATTTATCCTCAAATTATCCACTATGAATTGCAAAAACAGTAATAGAACATTAGGAATGCATTACCCACAACGAAGGAGACCTTACCTTGGCTCATTGTCTCAATGCACAGGCAACTAAATTGAAAACTGAAATTTTAGCGCATTTTAGAATGGCCTGATCTCACACTTACTTAGTTCCAATACATGTGTTTAAAACATGAATGAGGACAAATAAATTCATAACCAATCCATGGTTTCTTCTCTGCTGAGTGGTGACATTACATATCAGTATCCAGGGATCAAATTATCAGCTTCATCACTCGTTAACAACCACCAACCCAGCATCTAACAGACATACAGCAGCGGACAACCAGCACACAGTTACATCAGAGCCCGTTATTGGCTTATGTGAATCTGAAATTAGTGGGCACTTCCCCTTTACAAGCAGCATCGTAGTCTTTTTCAAGGTGCGGTGCAGCTTCCTTATGAGGGTGTATGAACTTCTTCTTGAATGTCATGTCGGACTCCTTGAAAACAGTATAGTAGCTTGGGTCACACTTGAGCAATCCATTTTCCTTGATAAACTTTACAGCGTAGTGCCGGGGCCTGAGCCGGCCCTCTAGGCTGAGACCTAGCATTACGGGTCGCTGAGCAATGTACGCCGATTCCAAACCCACCTCGGAGATGAGGAACTCAAATCTGCGCTGCAGCGATTTCTCGGACCCCCTCAGCAACGGTGGAAACTTAGAAACAGCCATGCCTACCTCAGCATCCGTCCACCTGAACGTGCTCTTCAAGTACCCCACCCTGACTGTGATCTCCTCCTCACCGAGGAATGCAACAGCCTGAAGTGCGTGCCTGAACATCCCAGAGGCACGGGGCACACCAATGTTTTCAGCGCACGCCACCATTGCCTGAACATGCTCCGGGTTGCTGATGATCATCCTCGGTCTTTGGATGCAAAACTTGGCGATATCACAATCCTGCAACCCACACTCTCGCAGGTACGCGACATTGGGCTTGACCACCCTCTCGATGCTGTGTGAGAGGATATTGGAGAACTTCATCACCCGGAGGAAGTTGTGGGAGGTGCCGAAGAGGCGCAGGTAGTACTGCAGCTTGGAGAGGACAGATTTTTGGCGGAATTTGTGGGCGGCGAGCGATGCGAGACGCGCGATGTCGGAACGCGATAAGCCGAGGCCAGAGAGCCCTGCGGCTACGGGCGTCAGGGTTCTCTCCACGCTGGCGCAGAGGAACTGCGGGTCCCTGGCGACGAGGGCGGCGACATCGGCGTCGGAGAGACCGAGGCCGGCGAGGAAGGCGAGCACGGCGTCGGGATTGGCGGGGGACCTGAGGTGGGAGAGCTTGGCGGAGGCCTTGAGGGCCTGGGGTCGGGTGAGGCCGCAGGTGGCGACGAGGTACTCCTCCACGGCGAAGCTAGGGTTCGGGGAGGCGCCGGGCGCTGCGGCGGAGAAGAGGCGGTGCAGCTGGGAGGCGGGAGAGGCGGAGGGAGACGATAGGAGCTGGGTGAGGATGTAGCACCGGAGCCGGAGGAGCATGGCGCCGCGGCGGAAAGGCCGGGGAGATTTGGCGGCGGCCGGCGGCGGCGAGGGAATGGGGAACGGGGATGGCTTCTGCTTTTTTTTTTTTTTTTGACGATGATTCCCGTCTCCAGGTTCAACCCAGCCAGCCCAAGTGGGTCCCGCCCGTCAGTCTCATGCTGCCATTTCTATAATGTGAGCCAGCGATCCCTTTTCCAACATTGTTGGTAAAATTGTCAAAGATTAGAGTGACATGTTTGGCCTGCAATGAAGTACTCCCTCCGTCTCATAATATAAAAACATTTTTTATATTAGTGTAGTGTCAAAAACGTTCTTATATTATGGGACAGAGGGAGTGGTACTGTTTTCATATTTATGCCCAAGGGAGGCAAACAAAGTCGCACACACTTTAGTCATAAATTCTTACTACGATTCAAACTATGTAACTGGTTGGGTCGATGATCCCTAAATTTTCATCTACCGTTCCTGATGTAATTGTTATTTAAGTTCAACAAAAAGTGTGTCACACCTTCAAACGCATACTTGACTGTCTTCTAGGTGATTGCAAGATATCCTCAATGATAAGCTACAATAAACGAATATTGAGCGTATCCATGAATCCTACTGGAATGCATCGCTTTTGCTTGTGCATACGTCTTGCTTCTTTCCACTCCCCTACGGTAAGGCGTGTCGTAACTGTTGTTTACTTTGTCACAAAGTTTTCCATGAATGTAGTTGAATGATCGGTATGGTCGACTAAAGTGGGGTGATTAGACGACTAACAAAATGTTAACTTCTTTTGCAAATTTTAGGCTCAACAAAACAACAAATTTGTCTAGATATGCAATTAGGTGAACAACCTATATGACAAACTTAACAAGTAACAAGTGCTAGCAAGTAGCAAGAGTAAACACAAGATAATAACTTGCACAAAGTAAAGGACCAAAATAACCGCAAGTGGAGTCGATGAAGACGAGGATGTCTTTCTGAAGTTCCATCCATTGGGGAGGGTATGTATCCATTGGAGGGGTGTGAAGACACAATGCTACCCAAGCGTCCCAAGGACTCACCCTATTATCTTCATGCCCTCGCACAATGCAAGGTGTCGTGAATCCATTAGTGATGCACTTGAAGGCGACAATCCGGGACCTTTACAAATAAGGTTGGAGCTTCACAACTTAATCGAAGACTCCCAACACCACCACGAAGTTTCATCATAATGGAATGTGGCTCTGCAGTGACCTCTTCCTTCTAGGATGCCCAAACACCCAGGAGTAATAAATTGAAGTAGATGTAGAAGTCGGAATACGCAAAATGGTTTGGTGGAAGTGTAAATCGGGTGAATCTCCTGTCCCCAAAGTACGAGAAAGTTGGGGTGGTTGGGGAAGGAGATCTCAAGATTTTTCAGGTTTGGAAATGGTGGGTAAAAGCTTGGGCAAACTTAGGGTTAGGAGGAACAAGAAGGAGGGTATTTATACCCCCACGGGAGAAGTAACTGTTACACAACCGCAACTCCGATAACCCGGACTATCCAGAGAGAAAACCTCTTGCCCCGGGCACCTGGACAGATTAGGCCTTGTACAATGCTAGATGCTTGGGGAGGTGCTTAGAAAAATAAAACGGGTTTTTCTGAAGCACCGATGTCCTATTTCTACATAAGAGACACATAATTAAGCGTCTACCCTGTACAAATAAGCACCGATGCTTAACAAAAACGTGATTTATTTCTCTATGCACCTCACTTAAGCACCTTGCATTGTACAAGGCCTTAGAGGATAGGATAGGCTGAGGGCCCTGGCACCCGGACATTACCGAGGCCCTTCTCTGGTACCTACGGGCACCTGGACCTCTAGAGTGGGTGACTTCTCCGATAAAAACTTTCTTCTGACGGAACATGGAAAAAGATGGGCAAAGTGAATGTGCAAATGTTTTGAGTTCCCTAACTCTCTAATCAAAACAACCCCTCTTATAGTACGGATGTTCCTTTGACTCAAAACTACTCCAAAGAACTTTCCGAGTCAGCAAAGAACACCGTCTTTATCCCTTTTTGTATTGATGGGGTTACCCAAGTCCGTAGACCAAATGGAGAAGCCAATGTCCTGAGATATACTTGACAACCGACATTATTTCTCACAAGTCTAAACGACCCAAAAATAAACATTGTTTAACAGCAATAATAAATCAATCCAACCTAGGGCGGGGCAGATTCTATCCGAAGATTGCACCGCCATCCACGGAGGGAGAAAACCACACTGACCGTACACTCCAACCGTGCAGACGCCATCATAAAAAGGTCTATGTCCTTCGTCCTCTGTAGGATAGACTAAGAGCATCTACAGCCGGGCATCCCAAACCCGTCTCAAACGGCCGGGCGGGCCGCCCGGTCACTGACCGATCACGAAATTTCGACCTAGACGGGCGCCTCAAACGCCCGGGTTGACCGGCACCCCTCATATCCAGCCCAAATATGGGGCGGATATGGGGGCGCCCAGGCGCGTCCGCCACGTCGGACCCGACCCATGATAGCCCACCCGACCCCACATATATTCCTCCCCATCCGCTCGTCGGACCAAACCCTAGCCACTTCACTCCACTCCCCTCCGCCACCCAAGCTCCCGTTCGGCGATCGCCAACCTTGTCCGGCATGGCGGGCAGTGGATCCGAGTCCTTCACCTCCAGACCCACGTGACCCTGAGGAGGAGATGGACGTCCGTCTTGCGCTCCTCCACTCCCGGGAGGAGGCCCGTGCGAGGCAGCGCGCAGACTCCTTTTTTCATGAATCCATTGCGTCCGCCCAAATGGCGCATGGATCTGACGCTAGGTGTGCGTTGTTGCCTCATCGGAGGCGGTCCGCTGGCGTCCGAACGTGGTGGTGGACTTGCAACCCATTCGTTGATGCACGGAGCAATAGGAGCACCATGGGCATCGTACGACGCAAACATGGCATGGCGTGCCCGCCATGCGAGGCAGCGGGCGCGGGAGGTGGCGGCAGCCCTCACGGCGGTGGACATCGACGAGGCGGAGTCACATTCTCCGGTGCCCCGTATGGTGCACCCGTGCGGGTGCTGCAATCGCATCGTGGTGGATGTCGCCGGCACGTCCCAGGACGGATCCATCATCGATATGACGTCTGAAAGTACATATAGTCCCGATGTGTGGTTTTGGTAATTAAATGACAATCCTAATGGACTAATCTTTGCATTGAGATATATGATACATTCATTTTGCATCATGCTTTTATATCGATATTTATTGCATTATGGGATGTTATTTCACGTTATGTCACAATGCTTATGGCTATTCTCTCTTATTTTACAAGGTTTACATAAGGAGGGAGAATGCCGGCAGCTGGAATTCTGGGCTGGAAAAGGAGCAAATATTAGAGACCTATTCTGCGCAACTCCAAAAGTCCTAAAACTCCATGGAATATCTTAAAATAAATAAGGAAAAATCCTCGCCAAAGATGAAGGCCAGGGGGCCCACACCCTGCTCACGAGGGTGGGGGGCGCCCCCCTAGGGCGCGCCCCCTACCTCGTGGGCCCCCTAGTGGCTCTCCGACGCCCATCTTCTCCTATATGAAGTCTTCCGTCAAGGAAAAAACTAGAAGCAACCTTTCGGCACGAAACTCCGCCGCCACGAGGTGGAACCTTGGCGGAACCAATCTAGAGCTCCGGCAGAGCTATTCTGCCGGGGATACTTCCCTTCGGGAGCGGAAATCATCGCCATCGTCATCACCAATGCTCCTCTCATCGGGAGAGGTCAATCTCCATCAACATCTTCACCAGCACCATCTCATCTCCAAACCCTAGTTCATCTCTTGTATCCAATTCTTGTCTCCAAGTCCGGGATTGGTGCTAGTAGGTTGCTAGTAGTGTTGATTACTCCTTGTAGTTGATGCTAGTTGGTTTATTTGGTGGAAGATCATATGTTCAGATCCTTTATGCATATTATTACCCCTTTGATTATGAACATGAATATGCTTTGTGAGTAGTTACGTTTGTTCCTGAGGACAAGGGAGAAGTCTTGCTATTAGTAGTCATGTGAATTTGGTATTCGTTCGATATTTTGATGAGATGTATGTTGTCTAGCCTCTAGTGGTGTTATGTGAACGTCGACTACATAACACTTCACCATTATTTGGGCCTAGAGGAAGGCATTGGGAAGTAATAAGTAGATGATGGGTTGCTAGAGTGACAGAAGCTTAAACCCTAGTTTATGCGTTTCTTCTTAAGGGGCTGATTTGGATCCATATGTTTCATGCTATGGTTAGGTTTACCTTAATACTTTTGTTGTAGTTGCGGATGCTTACAATAGAGGTTAATCATAAGTGGGAGGCTTGTTCAAGTAAGAACAACACCCAAGCACCGGTCCACCCACATATCAAATTATCAAAGTACCGAACGCGAATCATATGAACGTGATGAAAACTAGCTTGATGATATTCCCATGTGTCCTCGGGAGCGCTTTTCCTTATATAAGAGTTTGTTTCGGCTTGTCCTTTGCTACAAAAAGGATTGGGCCACCTTGCTGCACTTTATTTACTTTTGTTACTTGTTGCTTGTTACAATTTATCTTACCACAAAACTATCGTGTTACCACTTATTTCAGTACTTGCAGAGAATACCTTGCTGAAAACCGCTTATCATTTCCTTCTGCTCCTCGTTGGGTTCGACACTCTTACTTATCGAAAGGACTATGATAGATCCCCTATACTTGTGGGTCATCAAGACTCTTTTCTGGCGCCGTTGCTGGGGAGTGAAGCGCCTTTGGTAGGTGGAACTTGGTAAGGAAAAATTTATATAGTGTGCTGAAATTTACTGTCACTTGTTACTATGGAAAGTAATCCTTTGAGGGGCTTGTTCGGGGTATCTTCACCCCGTCTAGTAGAGCAAAGAGTTGCTCCTCAACCTACTGAACCTATTGAAGATGAAACTCCTTTTGAATTTCCTTCGGGTATGATGGAAAAACTGTTAGCTAATCCTTTTACGGGAGATGGAACAAAGCATCATGATGAGCAC